CTCAGACCATTGTAAAAATCCATAAGTCATTTTCTTCTTCATGTATTGCTTAAGTGCAATTTGTCATTTTGCATTAGAGGGCTGCTTCAGCTCATCAGTGCTTTTAATTCACTGTTTAGAGTTTAACAAAACGCTGGCCCTGTCTGATAACTGAAAAGACATTGAAATGTGAAGCTGCACCAAGATTAACTAGGTTAAACAAAATGGAGAAGAACATTTCTACTTTGAACATAAGTAATGTTTTAATGGAATAGCTAGTATTCCCAATCCTCAAAACATGGATTGGTTTGTTCTCTGTTGGCCAGAACATTATAACACAGTATCTAAAGAGTCACCTAAATGCTTATAATAGCATAAGTTATAAATCTTTTCTAGAAACTCTAGTCAACATTCTCTTTCTAAAGTAGATGAACAAAACTAACACAGTGTCTTGCCCCCAAAGCCTTGCCTTCCTACCTCTTAAGTTAGGTTACACTACTACAAATAAACCTGTCTCATGGATACCCATAAGAAATGCAGTAAGGTCCAGGTCCTCTGAGTTTGCTCTCTGCACTCTCCTTGCTGGGAAGACAAATGCCAGGAACCACCTAGCTCAATCCTGGCTGGGTCTGGTGTTTGAAAGACTTCTCATTGACGATTTAAATTTTTCTCTTCCATTTCTTAAAAAAACAACAACAAAAAAAAACAAAAAAAAAAACAAAAAACAAAAAAAAAAACTCTCAAAGCTCTGGGCACACTGCAATAATAAGAGGATTTAGAAACAAATTGCTTTCAAGTCAAGTTAAATCACTGCAAACACTCATTTATCCAAACGCTGGTTAACAAACTTGTTTCCCTCCCGCCTTTTCCAGAAAAGGGTAGGGAAGAAAGCAACCCTGTTACCTAGTTTTGAAGTTTGTAACTATGTATATAAAACGCATTTGTGGGATCCTTAGCGTCCCCCAGTTTCTGCTGTACTTAGAGGCCAATGAAATACATGAGTGTGCATTATCATTCTCATACACCAACCAGGACTTTTATGACAATTGATTTTGATACATACCTCGAAATAATAACTACTTTCCCCTTCTGGTTTAGGATGCAATTTATTTTAGCCCATATGGTTGGCTCCCCTGGAGGGGGTGTTGCGGGTGGGGGATAAGGTTGTGTTCGCTAGGCGTTACTGCTCCCTTCGCGGTCCATAATGGGGGGAGGGAGGAGAGTGGGACGCAGTATCACAGGATATTCTGCACTTCAAAGAGGTCGTGAACCCCTCTACCGAGGTTCTTATTTTTGTAATCATGGCCTCACTAAATTCCGGGGTTCACCGAAGGAAATGTAAAAGGAAAAGGAATTAAGAGGCCTTTTTCAAAGGCTTTTGTTTTGTGGGTGGCGGGGTGGGGCTGTGTAATGGTTCCAGGGTAAAGAGGCAGGGAAGGCTATTAACGCCAGTATCTGAATCTTGGCCTGAACAAAATACTCTCAATTGCCCTTGGATGGAGCTACCTAGAGGGAGGAGGACGGCTGGGCTCGGGTATGTTCCCTCTGGCAGAAGACCCCGTCGTCACCCCGAAGGTCCCGGGCAGCCTCAGAGACCAGAAGTCAGAGAGGCGAGACCTCTAGAGGACCCGGGCTGGCGTCGCCGGCGCGGATACAGGCCTTCGCGACCGAAGAAATCCTGCAGAGCCCCCAACAGGCGAACCCTGCCAAACAAGAAAGCGCCAAAGAAAAATTCTCTGGCTTGACCTATGCTGCTTTCGCCGCTAGGAGACGCCTGTAACCCACGTTTGCAGAGAGAATTCCCGGCTCAAACACAACAGCTACCAAAAAAAAAAAAAAAAAAAAAAAAAAAATGCACCTCAAGTGTTACAGTGGATGTAGTGATTATTTACAGGCAAATCTGGCCATCTCTCCACGTTCTCATCTTCACCTCTGGAAGCTCTGTGGCTCTCAGCGAACGCCCCAAGTCGGCTCAAACTTCATCTACATTTTGAAAACACAAACCCTCTTCCTCAAACAATTTCTGGATCTGCATTGTCATTCAGCCACATGTCTCTCACATGCAAACACGCGTGCACTCGCGCTCACACACAAGTGTTTCCAAACGTATAAATGAAAACATTAGAAAATTACCGTCATTTTAAAAATGCTCCAGAATTCTGATGAGTCAGTTGGAAGAGCTCAAAATATTTCATTTCAATCCTGCAGATCTAAAGAAAAGGGGGGGGGGGGTAGAAAATACAGAGGCAATGCCGTTATTAATATTCAGATACACTATAATCTCCTTTTCATTGATCCACAGGTCCTTTTTATAAACTGCCACTCCATTCTCAGCAGTAGACACGATGCTAAAATCATTTTAACTGCAGCGGTTTTCTCTTGGCTATGGCCAGTAGTCAATTTACTGCAGCTGAAAAAGGATTAGCCATTTTTGCTGGCATCTTTTCCTTCTAACCGCTCAAAGGCAGGACCCATCTTCATGAAAGAGCCAAGGGTGGGGGGTGTCAGGGCACTAGACACGCACTCACACGACTCACAGAGCCATGCCTCAGTCTGTAATCACGCCTGTGGGCACTCGCTCTCCTTAATTCCCTGCCACGAAGAAATGTCGACGTACCTCGGGATTGGGTAAAGGGCTCTCCTTTTCTCGCAGGTTGTGGCGGTGTTACTCTCGGGTCATTCATTACCAGGAAGCCGCAGGGGACCATTCTATATTGTGGCATAGGAAGAAGACTGAACAGGGACAGCTTTAGTCAGTAACAACCCTCTATAGCCCGTTAGTTAATATAAAAAATACGCTTTAAAAAATCTTTTTCTTGGAGAATTGACATTCATTCCACTCTCTAGCATTGAAGAGTTCGCGCTGTATTTTAACTTCAGAAGAACTGGATGCATGGATGCGCTGCTCTGCCCCCGCGTCACGGCAGTGGGCACTCAGAGCTCCTCAAGCGCATCCTTCGAGATCGGGGTGTGTGGTTTGGCGCTCCGTTGGGGCTTTGCACAGTCTTGTGCACCGGGCCAAGGAGGATGGATGCGAGCACCGTTAAGTGTGCAAGCGCATTTTCCGATACCCGGAGCCGCACAGACTAGGGCACTGCCTGCGCTCGGCCCCTGCCCACATACCCATCCTCACCCCGGCCGGTGTTCTCAGCCGCTCCGCTGTTCCCATCCAGCGGTCTTGTCTCAAACTGGGCAAAAATCGGTGCCACGGTTTAGCACGGGGGTGAGGAGGAGGATCTCCAAATGTCAGAAAAAGCAGAAAATAGCCTGAGCGCGCCGCCGCAGCGTAGCACTTGGCGGGGTGAGGCGCAGGGATATCCGAGGCGCCTCGCAGCGCCCAGCGATGCTAAGATGCCAGCGAGTCGAGCGTTAGGCTGGCGTGCTTGAAGGCAGTGCTCAAACGAAACTCCTCAGTCATTGATCAAGGCGCTCTCTGTTTGAACTCGGTCCCTAAGGGATTAATCTATTTGGTAAGAATGTCGTGGATATACACCGAGGAAGGGAAGAGGCAAGTCTGAGGGGTCTGCACATCTATAGTACCTGTCCTCCCACATCCCACATCCCTTGGCGTGAATTCCTGGGCGTTTCAGGACCCACCTCCGCCCCACACTCCAACCGCTTCACTCCTTTCCACACAGCCCCTTCAGACCCTCACGTTTAGTTTTTACACAATCCATATCTCTAAAAAAAAAAAAAAAAAAAAAAAAAAAAAAAAAGCCAAACTCTGCCAGAGTCCCTTATTAGGTAACCCCTGTAGTTAGTGGCCCCTCTGCAACTTTTTCCCATCCCGGTGATTTATTTCCACGGTTAGTAGTAAAGGAAAATACCTTAAAGGAAAAAGAATGTTAGCGTCATTGGAAACCCTGCTCCGGAGAGAGGACACCGCTGCTGTTGCTATTATGTTTTCGCATTTGTTGATGCAAACAGGGAACCTCTCTATTCCCTCTCCATTACCTGCGGCTGGGGACTGGGAACTTTCCGCGGCAGAGTCCCCAGCCAGCGCCTCGGGACCTGCGGGGCTGTTCTCACTCTCACACTCACACTCACCCCGGCCGCCAGCCCGGACACGGGTTCCATCCCGCCCCTCCTGGCTGCCGAATGACGCACCTGCTTGACAGCCAGGTTGGCCAATTAGCGGCAACTCGGTGGGTGATGCTCCTCAGCGATTGGTTGGCAGAATGAGGGCGCTGCGCAAAAACAGAAAAGCGGAGCGTTCCGAGCTCAGAAACTGCCAGCCGAGATCACAGGCTCTAGGGCTGAAGCAGGAGGAGGGAAAGACTGGAAGGAAGAGAGACAGGTTAGAGGGAAAGAGGCTTGGGAAGAAAACAGCAGGAAAGAAACTGGTCATCACACTTAATAGAGAGGCAGATGATGGTGGAGATGAGGACAGAGGGAGACAGAACTATGAAAGCCAAAAAATACAGATAGAGCGAAAAGAGGAGAAAATGCCAAGAAGAACATCCATCCGGAGAAATGAAGAGAATGAAAGTTTTATGCTGCAGAGCCGTTCTATGTTTTTCCGGCACAAAATTCTCTTGCTGTTTTTAAGCCCTTTTGCATTTGCCAGCCGTTGACATTGAGGCATGTTCAGCGGTGCCAGCAGCATCTCCTCTTCCTTCTCCTCTTCCTCTTCATCTTCCTCCTCCTCCTCCTCTTCCACCTCCTCCTCCTCCTCCTCTTTTTCCTCCTCCTCCTTCTCCTCCCATCAGCAAGAAGACAAACCGAGGACAGTCTTGAAATACCGAAATTTCCTCCTTGGGATTTGCCAGCGCCGCGTTGCGCCAAGACTGTCGGGATAAAGGACGCTGACTATTGTATTATTATTTTATTAATTGGTCAGTGGGAAGATTACAGATGAGGAAAGGGGACGCCTGTCACCCTTCCTGCGCTAAGATTGAAAAATGAGGCTGGTTTGGGGGAAGCCCTAAAATGAAGCAAAAGGAATAAGATTTTTAAGGACAGAAAGCCACAGGAGCCCCCCCACATAGCGCACTTTTATTTGTATTTTTTTCAGATTTTTTTTTTTTTTCGTGGTGGTGGGGGAGGTGATTGGGTGGCTGGCTGGCTGCGGGAAGCTGCTTCCTTTCCCTTTGGAGATGATTGTGCTATTATTCTTTGCCTTGCTCTGGATGGTGGAAGGAGTCTTTTCCCAGCTTCACTACACAGTGCAGGAGGAGCAGGAACATGGCACTTTCGTGGGGAATATCGCTGAAGATCTGGGCTTGGACATTACAAAACTTTCAGCTCGCAGGTTTCAAACGGTGCCCAACTCGCGGACCCCTTACTTGGACCTCAATCTGGAGACCGGGGTGCTGTATGTGAACGAGAAGATCGACCGCGAGCAAATCTGTAAGCAGAGCCCCTCCTGCGTCCTGCACCTGGAGGTCTTCCTGGAAAACCCCCTGGAGCTGTTCCGGGTGGAGATCGAAGTGCTGGACATCAATGACAACCCCCCCTCCTTCCCGGAGCCGGACCTGACGGTGGAGATCTCTGAGAGCGCCACGCCGGGCACCCGCTTCCCCCTGGAGAGCGCATTCGACCCAGACGTGGGCACCAACTCCTTGCGCGACTATGAGATAACCCCCAACAGCTACTTCTCCCTGGACGTGCAGACCCAGGGGGATGGCAACCGATTCGCGGAGCTGGTGCTGGAGAAGCCGCTGGACCGAGAACAGCAAGCGGTGCACCGCTACGTGCTGACCGCGGTGGACGGGGGAGGAGGGGGAGGAGGAGGAGAAGGAGGGGGAGGCGGCGGGGGAGGGGGCCTACCCCCTCAACAGCAGCGCACCGGCACTGCCCTACTCACCATCCGAGTGCTGGACTCCAACGACAATGTCCCCGCCTTCGACCAACCCGTCTACACTGTGTCCCTACCAGAGAACTCGCCACCCGGCACGCTCGTAATCCAGCTCAACGCCACAGACCCAGATGAGGGACAGAATGGCGAAGTCGTGTATTCCTTCAGCAGCCACATTTCGCCCCGGGCGCGGGAGCTCTTTGGACTCTCCCCGCGCACCGGCCGGCTGGAGGTGAGCGGCGAACTAGACTATGAAGAGAGCCCAGTGTACCAAGTATACGTACAAGCCAAGGACTTGGGCCCCAACGCCGTGCCCGCGCACTGCAAGGTGCTAGTGCGAGTACTGGATGCTAACGACAACGCGCCGGAGATCAGCTTCAGCACCGTGAAGGAGGCGGTGAGCGAAGGCGCCGCGCCGGGTACAGTGGTGGCCCTGTTCAGCGTGACCGACCGCGACTCAGAGGAAAATGGACAGGTGCAGTGCGAGCTGTTGGGGGATGTGCCGTTCCGCCTCAAGTCTTCCTTCAAGAACTACTATACTATCGTGACTGAGGCCCCTCTGGACCGAGAGGCTGGAGACTCCTACACCCTAACAGTGGTGGCTCGGGATCGGGGCGAGCCGGCGCTCTCGACCAGTAAGTCGATCCAGGTACAAGTGTCAGATGTGAACGACAACGCACCGCGGTTTAGCCAGCCGGTCTACGACGTGTATGTGACCGAGAACAACGTGCCGGGCGCGTACATTTACGCGGTGAGCGCCACAGACCGCGATGAGGGCGCCAACGCCCAGCTAGCCTACTCAATCCTCGAGTGCCAGATCCAGGGCATGAGCGTCTTCACTTACGTGTCCATCAACTCCGAGAACGGCTACTTGTACGCCCTGCGTTCCTTCGACTACGAGCAGCTCAAGGACTTCAGCTTCCAAGTGGAAGCTCGGGACGCCGGAAGCCCCCAGCCTCTGGCTGGTAACGCCACTGTCAACATCCTCATCGTGGATCAGAACGACAATGCCCCTGCCATTGTGGCGCCCCTCCCTGGGCGCAACGGGACTCCAGCGCGGGAGGTGCTGCCCCGGTCGGCGGAGCCGGGTTACCTGCTGACCCGCGTGGCCGCAGTGGACGCGGACGACGGCGAGAACGCCCGGCTCACCTACAGCATTGTGCGGGGCAACGAAATGAACCTCTTCCGTATGGACTGGCGCACTGGGGAACTCCGCACCGCGCGTCGGGTGCCGGCCAAGCGCGACCCCCAGCGGCCTTACGAGCTGGTGATCGAGGTGCGCGACCACGGGCAGCCGCCCCTGTCCTCCACTGCCACACTGGTGGTGCAGCTGGTGGATGGAGCTGTGGAGCCCCAGGGTGGGGGCGGGGGCGGTAGCGGGGGGTCAGGGGAGCATCAGCGCCCCAGCCGCTCTGGCGGCGGGGAGACCTCGCTGGACCTCACCCTCATTCTCATAATTGCGCTGGGCTCCGTGTCCTTCATATTCCTGCTAGCCATGATCGTGCTTGCAGTGCGTTGCCAAAAAGAGAAGAAGCTCAACATATACACGTGTCTAGCCAGCGACTGCTGCCTTTGCTGCTGCTGCTGTGGCAGCGGGGGCTCGACCTGCTGCGGCCGCCAAGCCCGGGCGCGCAAGAAGAAACTCAGCAAGTCGGACATCATGCTGGTGCAAAGCTCCAATGTACCCAGTAACCCGGCCCAAGTGCCGGTGGAGGAGTCCGGGAGCTTCGGCTCCCACCACCACAACCAGAATTACTGCTACCAGGTCTGCCTGACCCCTGAGTCCGCCAAGACCGACCTGATGTTCCTTAAGCCCTGCAGCCCTTCACGGAGTACGGACACTGAGCACAACCCCTGTGGGGCCATCGTCACCGGCTACACAGACCAGCAGCCCGACATCATCTCCAACGGAAGCATTTTGTCCAACGAGGTAAGGCTGAAGCGAAAGGACCACCATCTCTCATCTCCTCCATCTGAAAGCCTTCTCTAGCCCGGCCCTTGTATCTCTGGTGCACTGTGTATTTATATTTAGGATATTAACTTATTTGTATCTTTGTGGGGGCAGGAGTTGGGGGGAGGCTATCCCACCCCTTCGTATGTAACCTAAACTTCTTGTTGTCCCTAATTTTCTGCGCTCCACCCCTCCACATTTACTTTCATTTCCTCCCCTTGGTGCTTTGCCACCTTGGACCCTCCTTCTTCCCTCTGGCATCGTTCCTTTAAAATCCTAACCCCTTCTCAGTCCTTTCCCTTCTCAGAATTCTGAGGGGAGCGAGGGAACTGCGATGGAGGGACTTTTTGGTACTGGCAAAGGTCTTTTTGCGTTTGTCCCAGACATTAATAAAGTTAATTCTGTTTGCTTTGTTTATCGATGCTTTCAGTCGCGTGTAAAGTAAGCTATAGATTGTTTAACTTCGCACAGTTGTCTAAACTCAAATGCATGTTTTAGTGAATAAGTTATCAGATCCTTGTCCTCTAAACTCGGGTTGCAGAAAAGCCTTCAGTTCTGCTCTGGACAGCATTTACAGACGCTCCTCAAGTCCAACACCCACACAGTGTGAATTTGAATGAAGTTGCTTTGGCACAAATCCCTGTAAGCGTAAATTAACAAAAGGCTTAAACAATTGTTACCTTAAATACATCTTTTAGCTAATAATCACATTTTGCCACTGTTCTTGATAAATCACTGCTGTTGGCTTTCTTCCTCGAAGAATTTGGCTTGTCAATTCCGATTTCTTTTTAAAGATGGAGAAGTGGCAAAGTTGGAAGGAGGGAGGGAGGGGGAGAACAGAGTTGATTTATGTACAAGAAGGTTTGGAGCAGAAAAGGTGTGTGGATGGTGGAGGTGGGGAGGAAAATGCAGAGGGTGTTTGGAGGGGGAAAAGTTTTGGAGGGGGATTATGAATTCCTTTCTTGGCAGGTTATTTTATTTATTTGAGTCTTAGATATTATTAATTGACTTTCATGAATATTTGTACAGCTCATTTGTATCTTAAGCACATTTTGAAAATAAACAACAAAATAATTCCATAAAATATCCAAACTTTTTCTTATTGAGCGTGCTGTTTTTCTTGTGTCAACCAGTATGCACCTAAACACTTTTTTAGGCCACTGGAAGAAAGACTACAGAGTAAACCTAGGTTGACTCTATTAGGGACAATAGTTTATGAGCCCTATTAATGAGGCAATTTGCATTCTCTCATTAATGACACACACACATGCACACACACGTTTAAAATTGGCCTTTTATTTTTGCAATTTTTTTAACTTTTACTGAAAATCTAGACTGACATGTCTCTGCATATAGCCCTTACCTTACCCAGTAATCACTAGGATGAAGTCTTAGAACAGCTTGAAAATTCATAAAACTACACACAATTACTTAAACTAGACTCAGTTCCTAACCTCAGAAGAAGACTATTAGTTAAACCCTTAGCATTCAAATGCTTTTGATTTATTTATTTTTTTTCTAGACTAAACACCAGCGAGCAGAGCTCAGCTATCTAGTTGACAGACCTCGCCGAGTTAACAGGTATGGACTTTTTTTTTTTTCCCTAGCCGTGTGTGGACAGTTTACTATCTACTAAAATTAGGAATTAGGTGTATTGTCCAGTATTAAAATATAAGATGTATAAAGCATCTCCAGCTAGGTCAGAACATAAATACTGATTATGTTGGGGTTCCTAGACAATACATTAAAAATATGGATATAATTCATCTATATAAAGCTTACTGAATATATTTAAATATTTTAATATTTTATCAATTTATACTCCTACACTGCTTCTGATAGCCTCCCTTTTCCAGGTGAATATATACTCTTTTATGAAAATGATATACACATATACATAACACTAATCATAGAATAATGACTAAAGTGACATGTCTTAAGGGCTCGAACTGACTGTTCGGCTCAGTTTTAAAGAATTAGGCTTAAAGTGATGAAAACTAGCTTTCTGCAGAAATAAAGCCAACTGAGAGGTTTATGAACCTGCAGCACCATTGGTGACCATGTGGTGGCGGAAGAATGTTTTCTGTGTTTCTTCACATTTTTTATTCTAATATTCACGTTTTTGTACTTCTAGTTCTGCATTCCAGGAAGCTGACATAGTAAGCTCTAAGGACAGTGGTCATGGAGACAGTGAACAGGGAGATAGTGATCATGATGCCACCAACCGCGGCCAGTCAGCTGGTAAGTGTGTTCAAAAGGCAATGCTGACTTTTAGTTTGTTGTTGTCATTGTTGTTAAAAGTAAATCTAGAAAGAATGATGTCCCGGGTAATTTTCTGTAGGTTCAAGGTTGGTAAGTCCACAGGAAAATGGTGTCATCCTATGTTGATAATTGTATATTCAAGGAGGATTATAAAAATCTAATGTTCCTTTGGGTAAAGTTAGAGATTCGTTGTGAAATATGATAGAATATGAGCTATTTCTTTTTTATGTAATGTTCTTTAGTGTAATCATATTGCATAAAAAAACCCTATAGATTTCTCACCTGGTCAGGCCTCGGTCTTCAGTCAACTAAGGTATTATTAGACTTGTTTATGGATGAGGTAACTGAAGATGAATGAAATTAATTGACCTGCACAAAATCACAGAGAATAAGTGGATGATTGGGAAATAGAATCCAAATTTATTCCTTTTGAGAGCAATGCATTTTGTAAGCCACTGAGTATTGAATGAGAGAAGGAATGGTGATTAAAAGTCATGAATAGGCTGAAAGAAAGATTTCCAATGCTGGGTTCTTAGGCTTCAGGTCATTAGTAAACATTTCATAATGTGTATTTTCTCAAGCATCCTAGGTTTCCCCATATTTTCAACAGGGTCCCTGACCTGTCAAGTGTTGAATCTCATGTGTATTTGTATGTAAGGGTAATGATAGCCACTGATGGGGTTGCAGTATAATGCATATATTTTACATTGTTTATTTTACTTTTTTCTATATAAATTTAACTGTTAAATTTTATAAGATGCTGATAACTCTGTTTACTAATCTGTAAAGAAAACACTTTTAAACATAAATCATATACCTTATAATGATGAAAATGATTTCACAATGGTTGGATTTTCTTCCCCCTTCATTTGCATTTCAACTAAGAAAAGTGCTTGTTGATTTTTTTTTTTTTTTACTTTTTATTTTTTGATTGAGTTTTGTGTTTTTCTGACTTATAAAGAAATAGAAAGGCAAGTTAACCTTTGTAACTTATAAAAGTGTCCATCACTGGGCTATCTCTAGATTCAACTCTGTTCACTTGATTTTGAGCTTCATTTTGGTTAATGATGTAACCACAGAGAGATAGAGCCCTCATTTTCAAGGTAACCTTGGTCCTAGAGAGCACACATTCCTTAACACACTTGGTGGACCTCTGAATGGTGCTGAGGCAGTGTGTCAAAGGGCAGTACCCGCCCCATGGTCTCCTGGCAGCCGTGGTTACTGCAAGCCTCTCACTTGGCTAATGTGTGCTGTGTCTGAGGCTGCCTTAGCCTTGGGAAACACAGGCAGGAGGAGGGGGAAAAAAAGGCTGCTCAAGGGTCTCTTTATATTGCTGCAAGTCATTAATATGCAGACCTAATGAGACTTGAGAACTGCCAAGAATCCCCGGAGGTCCCTGCCCCTTGCGGGCCTTCACGCTAAGTGAACAGAGCATCTATTTAGTGTCTGGGAACCTGACAACAAACCAGATCTTGCCAGAAGTTTATATTTGAGTACAAAGTCCCTTTCATTTTGGGCCTATATATGGCATATGATTTATTGTTATCTTCAAAAAGCTGTATGTTTAGAATTGTTCACTCCTATTCGTTTTTCAGGGTTTCTAATTTAAGTTAGCCTTTTTAAACTTTTAAAACAAAATGTTTAATATTTAAACAGTATCTGAGGCACGTTTCCTTGGGTGCATTTTATTCTTTTCCCACTCCCCCACCCCCTGCTTTGTTTTTTTCTGTAGCACTCCAGTCTCAATGAACATTTCAATTAGTTTAGTCCCTCAGACATAATGAGCTATAATAACCTAACCAAAAAAAGAGAAACGAATAAACATCTGCAAAAAGTGCTACATTTGTAAGATTGTTGGGAATAGATTCTTATTAATGCGTCTTCCCAGTACCTATTTTATTTCTCAGAGACTCAATGTTGCCATTTTGGTAATGTTTCTTTCAAATTATTTGAGATGTCAAAGATTTAAAAGGAAAATGAAAATGCCAAATCGTGTCCTGGAAAACATTTTTAAAAAGCAAGGCAGTTTGTATTTTTCTTTATCAATAGCGAAAAAATTTCCCTATCCCTTTACATTCTTAAACATGAAAAGTGTTACAGAATTAATTTATTTTTGTATTTCATTGGTGGTTCCAGGGCACTTGCAGCATACTGAGCACAATAATTGCTGTTGGAGAATTGTAATGACACATTTGTGTTAAGAAGTAATCTCACCTTTGTGTACTGAATAGCAATCAGATTTAATATGTCTAATTTTATTGTAAGAATGATTTTAAAGTGTTTTCATTTTTAAGTATAAAACCCTAAATGCAGAGAAATTGAAATACATTTACTTTTATGACTTTCTCCAGTTCACACTAATGTTGTGTACCATAAACTTTATAGCAAGCAGCTGTAATATTTCCTTAAAGTTAAATCCATTTCAGGTGAGTAAGTACGTCTGTTTTATTTTCTTGTAAAGCCAGGTATTGATGACCTTCCAATTTTGTAATATTTAGGAAATATTATTCACAGCACATCTATTTCCAGGTTTACGATATGGAAAAAATTCATACCATGACAAATTTTACTTGGGCAATTTTTAGGGGGAAAACACCAGGTTATCAAGGAAAAATAATACTAGAAAGTCATAGACACTGAATTCTGTCTTTCAGTCTGTACCTCATTCCATATTACATACATTATATATACTACTGAGCTTAGTGCTTCACCGGTTTAAACTTCTTTACTTACTGTTTATTCTCAATTTCTTTTTCTATGTTAACATTATTTTGTATTTATTTATTTAGATATGCCTTCTATTTATTCTTCTATGAATAGTTTTCTTTTTTGTTCTTTCTCCCCTACCCCCATTGCTTTTCTCCTTTCTAAGCCATTTGCAGTCACCAATCTTGTTCATAGAAGGGCTTTAAACACGGAGGCAGCTGCACAGAGAATCACATAAGCTTTTTCAGTTTTCTACTGCACCTGGCTCCATGTGTGAAATTCTTCGGCTTGACCACTGCTCTGTGGCATTTTCTTTCTATAGCCTTGTCAAGGTGCTTTCCGTTTTTTTTCAGTGCACTATTGATGTATTGGTTAGATATGGCAGAAGTCCAGGGAGATGTGATAAATATATGCATAAAAGAGGAAAATCACAAGAGGAAAATCTGATTAATCACAACTCAAATAGTCAAAAAAAAAAAAGTCAAAGTGTACTTAAAAGATATATAGTTTCACTTTTGTTTAGTATCTTATTAGATTAAAAGAATTTTTTTTCTGATTTGCAACACTGATATAAACAGTTTAGTTGTATATTCTTAAACATTTTAACATTATTGCAGGTACATCTGAGGAGATTTATTCAGTTGTAAGAATGGTTTTTGCCTCGTTTTTAAATATTTGCAATATGCATACTCCTGGAATTAATTGCTCCTTCTCAAAAAGTATATTGAAGAAGATAACCCTAATAAGTGATTCTGTTAATGTTACTTGTTATGGTGTACCTGAAAGTTGTCAAGTCACTCGTTCTTGTAAATTCTTCTTTCAGCTACAGTTAGCTTCTAAGTGTGTTTATTTTTTAATTAATTCTTGAGCTTGATACATGATACAGGTCAATATTAGGCTATACGTAAAAACAAAGTGATTTGAATCGTCAGTATCTTCAAACTAGTAGGTAAAGTATATCATGAAATGTGTTCAGCCATTGCACAACAATTACATTATCAACAAGACAATTTATGATTTATCGAAAGTACAAATTTCCCTTTCCCAACTCCAGTAAGAATTTAGATGCTGGTTGATTAGTGTCTGGACTTACAAATAAAATGAATTTACATGATTGTTTGCAAAAGCTTATTCAGGTTTCTGGTGAAAACCTGAACTACAAATTGATGTTACAGAAAGATTTATAATTGGAAAAATATATGACAAAATATTAGAGAAAATAGAGAAAAATATAAACATTTTGAATGATAAGTAGGGAGAAATTTTGATGTACATGTTTTGACTTTTTCATGAGTGAATTATGTTGATAAATATCTGACTATGAGCTATATTTTCCTAAAAATTATAGCAACTTTTGTGGTTGTAATTAATATCTCTCCATTTTTTTGGTGCTAAGTGGTTAAAGGAGGACTGGAAATTTCTTCAAAAAATTAAGTATTGATTTTCTTTGAAATTAATTTATCATGTTATGAAAAATTAAACATTTTTATGAAGCTTTGATGCATGAGGAAGAAATGTACCCATAACTTCATATTATTACATTCATCAGAAAACAGCACAAATTGAATACAATTATAATATTTTTGAAATGACAATTCATTCTCTGTAATACTATTACTGCCTCTGACTATAAGGAACAAGTTACTTGCTGGTTAAAAAATATGTATTTTAAAATTGGTCTAAATATATCTTTGCATTAACAGGCAGTCTATCACGTCAGCTGTCATGCCTTATAGAACAGATTATTTCTGAGAAGTTGTAAAAATAAATAACTAGGAGAAGAAATTTCAAATAATGTGTATATATATATATATATATATATATATATATATATGTTGAGATATTTCTTAGAAAATACCCAAACTTTGAAACTGAGGTTTGGTTGGCCTGTATTTTTCTGCTGTACTAATCTCATAGGTTCTATAGTAAGGGCATTTGAATAAGAAAAACTAAAATCAAGTTAAATTTATTTTCTCTTGGGACTTCAATTTGGGATATTAAAAAATTCCAAGAGCAATGTGAAAGACATGCATTTTAATATGTCACCTGCCCTATAATACCAGGCATTCCTGTATATCATGTAATTTATCACAACAAAATTGAAATATAATTCTGTTTATTTGGTCATTAAAGAGTATGTTTAATGGGCCTGGGGATAAATTTAAAAAAAGGTAAATACTGTTAGTCTTTTAGAGACTCCCTGAAGTGAGGAATGATAATAGGAACATTTATCTGGTTCTCAAACTATACATCTAAAAGGCAAATGATTTGAAATTTATTGATGTACTGTTTGTTATTTTTCTTTTAATTTTGTTGCTATGTCTGATATTTTTTTCCTCATGAGAAATCGGTACACTTGTTTTATAAGTAAAACTGGTGAAATATATTCATGCACAATTTGTGGCACCAAATTTCTCATTCTGGTCATATAAAGCTGTCTGTTATTACTATGGGAATCACATTTTAAAAGTACTAATTCATAAATACACTAAGAACATTATTTACAAGTGTTTTCTTTCTTCTGTCAAGTAAGATTATTCTTCCAACAAAAACTTTATCATATTTCACATTTTTCTTGTTATGCACACGACATATTTTCTGTACAGTTTCTTAACTCATGAGAACTTGATTACATCATCTAAGGGAATTTTAACTAGCCTTTAATAACTAAAGAAGCCAAAAACCAGAAAAACCATTAGCTTCAAGAAGAGAAAATGGGCAGAGTTGCGTATACACTATCTATAAAAACCAGTCCTATTGAAAGTAACTTCTAATATAATCAAACATCTTAATAATGTTGAGAGACTAGTTTATTACAATTTTTCTATAGATAGATGATCATATTTAAGAATATGAGAGTCTGGGTACAGGTGCCCGAAAGGACACAGAAGATTATTAATGGTTCTGTGTAGTATATTTAAAATGATATTTATCAGTCCACGTGAGGAAAAATTGCATTAATTCCAAATTTTGCATTGTATACCCATCTTTATTAGGGTCTAATAATACAATTTGATCTTACTATTTGAATTAACTCCACCAACTTCAAATTTAGTGCCTTGAATTTAATTTTCAACAAATGATTGCTCATAATAATTGGACTTTTAACAGTAGTTCCATCTATCAAAAAATCTTTTTTTCTCTATCACACTGCAAATATGGAGCAGTTCTAGTACAGTATTTACAGTATTCAAAATACAAATCTCTCTGGTTCTATAGCTTCTGCCGACTTTGTATGTCAATGTGTATCAGGGACATTGTCCTTTCCTTACTCTTTTCCTTTACACATAGCTCCTTGAAGAAATTGGATAAAAAAACTGAGCTACTCTGGTGTCTAGAAAAACATTGACTTGTTTTACATGCTTTTTTAGTCTGGGTCCTTATCCTGGTTTCAGCTCACGTTTTAAGTTCCTCAACAGTTCACTGATCAGTAATTTATTTCCCGGTTTATGCATGACAATTATCAATGGAACATTATAATCGAAGTCAGACTCGGCATTATACATAGTTTAATTTAAAATAAAAAAGTCATAAAGTGAGATTAATATAGGATAAGAAGCTTTGTTTTATTTCTTTAAACATAATTTACATAATTCACTGTTCTGAACTCCAAAATACTTGTGAATAATCTAGAAGATTAATACTCTGAAAAATTTTTTTTCTATATTTTATTCATACAGATGTTAACATACACACACAAACAAGTAAAGCAGTTTGTGACACAATACCATCAGGAATTTATAAACTAAAGCTGACTCAAGAGTTCAAATCGCTCATGGTATTTATAAGAAGAAACAATCAGATGGGTTCATTAAACAAATATTAATCTGTCAATTAAAAAAAGAAATCTATACTCATTTGAGAGTTTCTTTTATACAGAATAATCACACTCAAATTACTTTAAATTGATCCTGTTTAAAAATAAGCACAGTAAATGTGTTGGTATGTTTAGAAAAATATTAAAATGTGATTTGGGTTTATGTACTTGTTTTTCTGCATGGGGTATTTAACAAAATAAGTATCAAAAAGTATTCTATAATGCTCAAAAATTGTTACGTTCTGCTTAAGAAACTGAACTTTTTTGAGTCATAATCAGATAATGTTGAATAATCTTGTTAATCTGTGGGAGTGAAATTTGAAGATTTCATTTGAAATCTTAATATTCTCGGATTAGTGGGGAAACAGTTCTGTGTTGACTAGGACAAGTGTTTTTCCAATATGGAACAAGTAATAAAGTATTTGTCAATAGTTTCTGTACCTGACTCACAATACACTCGATTACCCTGGTTTCACTAATTACAGTCGTTTGTTCTGGGTTTGTCTGCAGTGGTAAGTGATAAGTGGTTTGTAGTAATATGGGCTACCAGAATGTCATTGAAATATACCTTTTAGGGTCATTTTCTGAGAACCTGAGAAAGCATGCTTTTGGCCACTCATGTAATGTTTCATTCTTGTTATTTATGAGTTTATCAATATGAGTGCTGTATTTCTGTTGAATTTCACTTTTTATTTCATATCCAGATTTCATAATCTATATATCATCATTTGTGCTTCACATAGTTCGATGTTTTTGTCTCTAAGGAAGAAAAACTGTTGGATGCCTTATCATCATTAGAGATTATGGATTATAAAAGATATACACTGTGCATTTTTCTCTGTTATGAATTTCACTAGAGATTTAAAAAAAAATATTTGTCCTTTTTCTACTCACCATTCCCTAGTTACTTAAATAATTTAGAGTCAGACTTTTTTCCCAATACTCTGAGAATTTTAGAAACATCTACCTCAGGGTCCTCTTTGCTAGAAGTCTAACCCTTTGGAAAATAGTACAAAGACATTTTTGGTTCCTATGAGGTTAAGGCAAGAAAATTTGGGCAAAATGCATTCACCCAGCACTCTTTATGTTACCTGTAATCTCTCACATTAGTGAAACCTGAATCTGGAGTTTCTTTTTTTTTTTCCGGGTTACAGGTATGGATCTCTTCTCGAACTGCACTGAGGAATGCAAAGCGCTGGGCCACTCAGATCGGTGCTGGATGCCTTCTTTTGTCCCCGCTGATGGACGCCAGGCTGCTGATTATCGCAGCAATCTGCATGTTCCTGGCATGGACTCTGTTCCAGACACCGAGGTGTTTGAAACTCCAGAAGCCCAGCCTGGGACGGAGAGGTCTTTCTCCACCTTTGGCAAAGAGAAGGCCCTTCACAGCACTCTGGAGAGGAAGGAGCTGGATGGACTGCTGTCTAATACACGAGCGCCTTACAAACCACCATATTTGAGTAAGTATTACATAAAAGGCTTTATCAAAGTATTCCCTTTGAGGGAATAAGTTCAACATGCCATTCTTCTTAGTAAAAATAGAGTTCAGGTTGTTTTCCGAAACAAGATAAAAGTGACTCTTGGATGCAGGCAGCCCTTTACTATGGAAAAATGAATATACGTATCAGGAAGACAGGTTCCTGTGTTAGGACATGGTTGTTGACAACAATCAAACATAACTTTTGATGTTGAAAACATTTTTCAAATGTGCTTCATATTTCCTTTGAATATTGATCTCTTGTTTACTTGATTTCCATGTGTTTTGAAGGGCTTAATTAAGATGGAAGAACATCTCTTGACACTTGAGTCACTGAGAGATTTTATTTATTTATTTTTTTGATGCCAGCATTATCACATAATCATCCTTTTTCCATAGTGACATTAAACATTTTAGGCTAAATTAGGAAATCAGTGCAGCCATCACTTTGGCCATTCAATGTAATTTAGAAATATGTTCATATGGAGTAAGTCTCTGATCAGAATCAGAGGAACTATGTGAAGGAAACATAGAAATAAAGCAATAATCTTCATTTACTTAAAATAATATGTTCTTCTAACATGGAGACATTGAAACCTGTACTCAGCTCTTTCAATATTGGGACCATATTCTCTAAGTGGATTATTTTATACAACCATTGTGAAAATAAAAATGCTTAGAGATTTTGTAGTGTATTTCCTTTGAGGATCTTGGCAATGAAACAATCCTATATTCTCTGCTACATAGTTATCTTTTCCTTTAGTTAATGGGTAAATGCCACTGACAATTCAATAGGTTGGTCAAACCATATAAACTAATGTTTGATAAAGGTGAAGCTCATAAAAACTCAGTCAAAAGATGACTTTTATCTTAAATAGCAGATCCAACATACATGATGTTTTCTTTCTTTCCTCTTCTAGTGTAAAAAAATCATAGAATCATAAGCTAGGAACAAAAATGAGACAGATTGCTGATGTGTATTTCTTTTATGATTTATGGATGGGAGGGAAATCGAAAAAAATACTGAAAGGAAAGAAAAAAGCTAGAAGAACATATATTTTAGCTCTTGTGAATGTAAATATGAAAGGCATTTCATTGAATGCATTGGGGACAAGATTGCTACTCTAGATATTGATAAGTCCTATGAATAAAGGAATAGATCTGCCACTGGATATATACATTGTGATGGCAACAAGGATTAAACTGTTTTATGAAGGATTGCCTCCAACTTTTCAAATTACTCAGAAATACCATTACCCCACACATGATATAGTAAGTATTTTAGCATTTCAGAAACAAATAATTGGTCCTAAACTATTAGGAGTATAAATATAATTGTATAAATATAATATGTATGCTGTATATTGTATTGAGTATAAATAATTGCTCCTAAACTATGCTGTCTATAAACTATTGATATTTGTTTTGCTTTATCTTTTGAAGTTAAAAAATACAAGAAGAGCACATATACTTAAGGGAAGTGTTGAAATGTCAAACGTAGTAACTATGATGAAATTTGGATGCTTGAGTCCTAAAGTTTAGCTCACACATCTACACACATTAGTGATTTCAAATAGCCTAAAATAGTTATGTGTGTTGCTAGAAATCAAAGAATGCATATGTTATTTAATTAAGAAAATTAAGATTTGTTTGCATATGATGCAGATATGGAAAAATAAGTTAGGTTTTAAAAACTATTTTATTTTTTCTGTGTTAGCCAACTCACGCCACTTAAAATTTAGGGTTTGGGATGAAGTGTGACCTGGCTGAAAAATAAGCAGAAATAGAAGTATTTTGTTGTTTTTACTTATACTATCCTTAGTTCTTCATAGAACTTCAGCTTTCAGGGTTTAATGCTATCTTAGACTCACACAATTATCTTAAAAATTATATCATGGTTCTGATTTAATAGACATAGACAATTTTATGGTTAATTTGATAGTATAAACTACAAATAACAACCCTGACCATTTTGCCCTCCAAATTCACATGAGAATAGTTGTTAATACTTGTACTATTTATCATCAGGAATGGAAATATTCTCACCTTCTAAATTGAAAAGAATGTCCCTTACATAATTAAACTAAGAACTTGGCACCTATAACTTGTATTTAACCAGAATGCTTAAATAATTATTGGGGTAGTAGTTTTCTTTTGTTGGACATGCATTTAGTTTTTTAGTGACTAGAAAGTTTACTTAATCTTAAGAAAGTAGCTGAATATTTATTTATTTTTGTAGAGCTCTAAAAATAAAGCCTAATGAAGCTACCACTGTCATTTATAAAATGATCAGGAAATGATAATATGCTTAATAATACAAATGAAATCATTGTCTATACCCAGGAACTTCCCATTTCTTTTTTTTTGTTTTGTTTTGTTTTGTTTTAAAGATTTTATTTATTTATTTGATAGAGATCATAAGTAGGCAGAGAGGCAGGCAGAGAGAGAGAGGAGGAAACAGGCTACCTGCTGAGCCTGCTGAGCAGAGAGCCCTATGCGGGGCTTGATCCCAGGACCCTGGGATCATGACCTGAGCCGAAGGCAGAGGCTTTAACCCACTGAGCCACCCAGGTGCCCCGGAACTTCCCATTTCTATACTTCTGATTATTAAATTTAAAATTAAAAATCATGAGGAACCAACTTCTACACAAAAGTACGTGTATGCACATGCTAAAAAACAGTTTGTGTTTTTTTAAAATGCCCAAATACAACTATGTTTCCTTTTTTTTTAATGTGTAAGGAAAGATCCACAAAGAGTATGGATGATGAATTTAATGAAATGGAAGTTATTTTTTAAATCAAGAATAATTTTGAAAACGTCAATTCAAACTCGTTAGTCATGAGCACTTTATGAGCATGCTTGATCTTATTTTTGTTATAATATCGTAGTTTGTTAATACTTTGATGAAAACCAAAGGGATACACTGAAAGATTAAAGAAATAATTATAAACATGTAAAAATGGTTGTATTCAAAACTCAGTGTTTTGATTTATCTTAAAGTGCTAGTGAATTTTAGCATAGCTTTACCTTTTCAGAGTCATAAAAAATACTAAAATATCACCTTAACTTTTAATAAAAATTAATCACTGTTTTTGACACTTATTAAAATAAAACATGAAAAAAATTATTACCTGGAGTTTAAAAATAATACCACATTTTATTGTGAGGAATTCAAAAATTTCTTTAGTATTATAGACATCTTATTTAAAATAACAGTATTTCAAATGACACAACGTTATACAGAAAAAAAAGGAGCATAAAAATGATTTAAGTTCAAGAATATAATACATAAAAGCTATATTATTAAGAAAATTTAGAAAAACCCAATAGTTAACACAACACCTAAATATTACTCTTGCAATCATTCTTACTTATGATTTTGGCTTCACATTTTGAACAACATTGCTTACAACTTTTGTTAGTAAATAAGCATATCTTTTGGTTCTAATCAGCATAAACAGTACAGTAGTAAAGGTGTAAGGATTCATTGGAAACTTGCTGATTTCTTGTCAATAAACCTAATCAATGCCTAAGAATTGACAACAATCAATAGACAAATAACCAATGAAATTTCACCTAAAATACATTTGTGAAAAATCTTTCTTTCATTTATTTAAAGGGTCATACAGTAATAAAATATACTGAACGAAATGAAAAACATACATTTACATAATAATTTTTTAAACCCTTAATCCATGAAATTTTCTAGACTCACAGGGCTGTAGGTAGTTCGCTATTCAACTATTTATTGAAGGGTCATGATTCATCCTCTGTTCACATTACACAGCATTTAGACTAGTCGGTGTGTGCCAAAAAATTACTGGTTTTCTCCTGACCTAATTTTATTTTTGCCTACTTTATGAGTCCTTTTGAAACTTCAATTCAACTCAATCTTAACACAAGAAAAGATGTCAGAACTTTGAACCATCCCATTTGAAAAATTGCTGACATTTTACCTAGACTTTTTTCAATAAACATCATTTTGAGAAAGTTCTTTTGGGCATCTATGTTATTTCTATGGTGCACTTCAAGTTTTTAGTTGATTAAAATTGTAGAGCATGTTTTGTTTAGACACATCTCTTTCAATCTCTTCATTGTCTCGATCTGCCTTCTCTGCGATTTTGTAATTTAACTCAATAGTGTGGTTAAGAGTATACATAAGATTCAAAATAAAACAACTTTTCTTATTGGTACACATTACCATCATATTTATGAATCCTTGTATATGTTTTCTCTGGGATTTCTATATTCCTGTAACGTCATAAACATAGCATCAGTTTATCAAATAATGAGGTCCATAAATAAGCATTATTATACAGGGCCTTTTTAACGTCTCTTTCTAGGTCCATACATCACTAAATGAATGGACATCTTTTCAGGATATTTTTTTCCTAGTACATATGTTAATTTTAGTACATATGTTCCCTTTTTCTCCAAGTTGTGTTACTTTTTAATAATATCTTATTTCTGAGACTTTTGCTTCTCTCACTCTTCTTTATAAGAATAGCTCTGGATTTGTGAACCTAACTTTCTCACTTTTTTAGTTTAAACCTTTGTGACAAATCCCTGGTCTTTGAATCACACCAGTCCTTCTGTTTTTCATTAAATTCCTTTGTTTAGTAATTAAGAATTGATCTCTCATAATTAAAGTAGTTTACTCACCTCGGTTTTGTGAGCAGGAAATAAATGATAACTCAGGGTCAGGAAAAAAACCAATCCCAGTTCATATTCTCTGTATATCTACTGTTAGATTTAATGTTCACTGAAGTTTATGATCTTTTACTTCTTTGAAAAATGATAATCTATTCACGATTTGTATTCTTACTGCAGTTAGCTGATGCAACAGCTGTCTGGAACTTTCCTGCAACTCCAGATAACTGAGATATTATCACATTATCTTATTTCTTCTGTAGTTGTTCAGTAATGGTCTACCTCAATTAATACGACTTCAAGTGAAAGCTATAAAAATCCTTCTGAGGTGA